TACTTCACCAAAAAAAACTGTTATATTTTGCACAATAAATGGAATAGACTTGTGTTTGTATAAAAAAAAAAGTGCAATATTACTAAAAGTTCCTAAGTGAAAGCAGATTTTAACGCAACCCCTTCAATCACCATAAAAGTGACTTGTTCAATTAACCAAAACTGAAAACTCAAAAAGTTCATCCAAAAATCAGTGCTGACCAACTCTTAGCAGCTACTTCAATGGACCTCTAATCATTTACCAGAACGTTTTGCCCCACCAGCGAGACCCAAAGAAAGAATTAAAAGGCAGCAGCCTTACTGTAGCTGCTGACTTATCTAAAAGACACTCGCCTGTTCAAGGATCCAGCGCTGTCCTCACCTGGGCCAGTTTTTTACCATTCGTCAGGTCCCTGGCACCAGCATACATAGTGTGGGAAGCCGGTAGTGACTCTTTGCAGCTCCACAGTTAGCTTCCTGCCACGCTGCCCTTTATAAACAGTCCTGCAGCTTTCCAGGACCTGTGATGTATCCCAGAAGGCTGTGGGCAAAGGAGGGGGGCATCAAACTTCTGATTGGATTGCCTAGGCTCCCAGGTGGAAGTGGGTACCTTTCAAAACCAGGGGCCACTCCCAACCAAAAACTTGGAGAAGGGGGCAGAAAAGCAGAACAGAGTGGGGCCCAAACCTCTTCTCAGGTCCTCCACTGGCGCTCCTGGCTCCTCCACTTCTTGGTGTGCCCCCATATCAAGCTGCTTGCTATAGGGGCACACCTCTGGGTTCAAAAGACAGCACATCTTGGCCCTGCCACATCTCACAAGGTTTAACTGGAGCCTCGGCAAAGCCAGTAAGACCAAGAAGTGACAGGATAGAGCCACTGCAGACAGCAACAGCGCTGGATCAAGAGAGGACTCTGGTAAGTATAAGGGGGTGGTGGGGGTTGGGTGAATGGGCAGTATTGCTATCCAAACATTTTATTACCATAATGCATTCCTTGCTTGTTCAGGCTTTAGAACCATTTTAATGGCCCTAGAATTATTTTTCATTAAATTGTTTCTTACTGTGTTTTCCTTCCTCCTCATGACCTCTGGAAGTTGGACTCCAGCAAAAAAAAAAAAAAAAAAAAATGTGAGATCAGAGTAATAGAAGGGACTCTTGAGTTAAGAATTCAGACTTTGAAATTGGGTAGTTACTACAATCAATAGAATGTACTCCCCCAAATAGGGCCTATCAGGTGCTCAGGGTTACGTAGAGGCCAATGAGGAGTACAAAAAAGTTCTTGGAGTGGAGCCAATCATTTCCTGGCCTCATTGAGACAAAGATAGTGTAAACCAGGGGTGTCAAACTGGCGGCCCTCCAGCTGTTGCGAAACTACAAGTCCCATCATGCCTCTGCTTTTGGGAGTCATGCTTGTAACTGTCAATCTTGCAATGCCTCATGGGACTTGTAGTTTGGCAACAGCTGGAGGGCCACCAGTTTGACACCTGTGATGTAAACCATGTGCGCTGCGCCTGTACACTGCATGACCAATGACATCACATCCAATACTACAACAGACTGGCAGATGTGCCCACACCACCCCATGCTGCCCCCACCTTGGTTCTAAGACCAGCCCAAGCCATGTCAACTGGAAAGAAATCAGTGAAAAGCTTCTACTGCAAAGTAATCATTAATCGTTCATTTTACAAAGTTAACACACACAAAAAAAAGGACACGGAGAACAACCTACATGCCAAATACAAAATCAGTGACACGTTGCGGTGAACAGGCTCTATACATACAACACAAAACAGTCATGTGATTGGTAAGTGCGCAGTGATTCGGTTTCCTTGTGAGGAGGCCACTCCATTTCAGTTATTTGGAGAAGTGAAAAATCTTCCCGGTTTCTTCACCACTTCACTTCTGCTGGCAGACTCTGTTCTGTACGCGGGAAACACAGGAAAAGGTAAAATAACTCGGCATGACCATTTTCTAAGAGTAATTGAAACTTTTTTTTCTAATTTTTTACTTGCTTGCTGTTCCATATTTACTTTGTATGTAGATCATGCTCCTTCTACTGGTCATGTATATATGTGGATTTATAAATGCTGCCTCTACTGGTCGTGTATATATGTGGATTTATAAATGCTGCCTCTACTGGTCGTGTATATATGTGGATTTATAAATGCTGCCTCTACTGGACGTGTATATATGTGGATTTATAAATGCTCCCTCTACTGGTCGTGTATATATGTGGATTTATAAATGCTGCCTCTACTGGTCGAGTGTATATGTGGATTTATAAATGCTCCCTTCTACTGGTCGTGTATATATGTGGATTTATATAATGCTGCCTCTACTGGTCGTGTATATATGTGGATTTATAAATGCTGCCCTCCACTGGTCGTGTATATATGTGGATTTATAAATGCTGCCTCTACTGGTCGTGTATATATGTGGATTTATAAATGCTGCCGACTACTGGTGGATTTATAAATGCTGCCTGTCGTGTATATATGTGGATTTATAAATGCTCCCTCCACTGGTCGTGTATATATGTGGATTTATAAATGCTGCCTCTACTGGTTGTGTATATATGTGGATTTATAAATGCTGCCTCTACTGGTCGTGTATATATGTGGATTTATAAATGCTGCCTCTACTGGTCGTGTATATATGTGGATTTATAAATGCTGCCTCTACTGGTCGTGTATATATGTGGATTTATAAATGCTGCCTCTACTGGTCGTGTATATATGTGGATTTATAAATGCTGCCTCTACTGGTCGTGTGTATATGTGGATTTATAAATGCTGCCTCTACTGGTTGTGTATATATGTGGATTTATAAATGCTCCCTCTACTAGTCGTGTATGTATGTGGATTTATAAATGCACTCTAGTGGTCATGTGTTTATGTGGATATACAAGGCTACAATCCCATTCACAGTTGGATACGGTACAAGTGGCAGCTACAGGAATCTACCGAATCATGCTGCTCAGGTGTGAGAAGCTAGCTGTGGCCACTGAGCCTGTACACTGCAATGACAGACTGTAGTCGCAGCTATTGGTGGCTGTTTGCACAGTCAGCAAATACCTGCTGGTCAAAGTTTTTTTTTTTTTCTTTCCTATCAACCTCAGCTCCACCTAGTGGCAATATTTAACACTTTTATGAATGAGCAACATTTGACCTGTAGAGGAAATCATACATTCGATTTGCTCCAATAGCACAGAGCACATGTGCCAGCAGATTTCCTAGACGAATAAAGTTATAGTTAGTCTGGCTGAAAAAAGGCAAAATAAGTCCATACAGTTCAAACCATAAAAAAAAAAAAAAAAAAGTTCTGATCCTATTCCCACAGTTATCCAGGAGGAAGGCAACAAAAAAAAAAAAACCCAGGAAAGCATGATCCAATTTGCTCTTGCTGGGGAGAAAAATTCTTCCTGATCTCCCAAGAGGCAGATATTCCCTGGATCAATTTTACCTATAAATGTTACTATCCAGAATAGCTATGCACTTTTTTGTTTTTATAAATGCACCTCTGCTGAGCACCCAATATAGATGTACATTTTGTATCCAACAAAATTATTTTCAGTTATATTTACACAAAAAGTCAAGAATAATAAAGGACAGAAAGAAATCAAGTCGGACCTCCTTGCTTTGGTATTAAAACACTAATCTTTGGCTCCTTGCTTTGTTGGTTAGCAAATTGCCCCCTTACATAGGTGGGTCCCTGGAGACCTGCCCCTTTATACGAATGGCAGATGAGAAGAGTGCAGCTCACATTGAAGGTTCAATGGGAAGAATCCATCCCTTAGGTTAAAGGAAACTTAGGATCTGAGGGTCATGAGGTGAGGCTCTACTGCCATACAGTTGGTTCTGCCAAGTGACGTTCGCCCCAGAACTATGAAGGCACCATCAGATGGTTGGTCAACCCACCATTGCTCTAGAAACTTCTGGAGGAACGCTGGTTGAGAATGGCTGATCGAAGGGTTGAATGCTGGTGAATCTAGAACCGTGAACATGCCTAGACAGGAGGTCCATCCACCACTTCTCAAGAAATGTCTAGAGCAGGTGTCTCCAAACTTACTCTCAAACAAAAGGCCTGTTTACTGTCTTACAGACTTTTGGGGGTTCAGCTTATGACCACTGAGTAGAAAATGCTGTTGAATCAGTGGAAATAAACAATGCTTCATCATTCATTTGAGCAGAAGGAATAGTGCAAATTGTTGGCATCTGTGGAAGGAATAGTGCCCCATCTTTGGTGTCAGTGGGAGGAATGGTGCCCCATCAATGCTGTCAGCAGCGGGAATAGTACCCACATTTTTGGTATCAATGGGAGGAATGGTACCCCATTGTTGGTGTCAGTGGAAGGAATTATGTCCCATCATTGGTATCTGTGGGAGGAACAGTGCCAATTCATGATATCAGGGGAAGTAATTGTGCCTCGGCATTGGTGTCCATTGGGAGAATGGTGCCCCATTGTTCGTCAGTGAAAGGAATTAGGTCCCATCATTGGTGTCTGTGGGAGGAACAGTGCCAATTGTTGATATCAGGGGTAGAAATCATGCGTCATCATTGGTGTCCATGGGAAGAATTGCAGCCCATTGTTTGTATCAGTCTGAGAATAGTGCCTTGCTTTCGGGTGTAAGGGTCGGATAAAGACAGGCAAAGGGCCACATCTGGCCCCCGAGCCGCAGTTTGGAGAGCACCGGTCTCAAGGAAACCTAGCTGAGAATGGCCGATCTAAGGGTTGGATGCTGGTGAATTCAGAACAATGAATATGTCTAGATAGGAGATCAATTCACCACTGCTCGAGAAACTTCTGGAGGAATGCTGGTTGAGAATGGCTTACCTAAGGGTTGGACGCTAGTGAATCTAGACCTATCAACATGTCTAGACAGGAGGTCAGTCCACCATGGCTAAAGGAACTTCTGGAGGAAACTTGGCTGAGAGTGACTGATCTAAGATGGACACTGGTGACTCCAGACCCATGAATATGCCTAGATTCATCTGCTTGTAATAAATTACATTACTTACAGATATGGGGAGGGAACTTTGGGTTTCAGAGGAGCAGCCGGAGCAGAGTTAATCTCAGGAGATGTCAGCGGACGGAACAGACGCTCTGATTGGAGAAAAATGGACAAATCACAATCTGCATTCTCATGAAATGACACTCTTCAAAATGTTACACCCATTCCACAGCTGCTAATGTTCTTCATATTATTTCTCAACTAATGGCACAATGGAGACCCCAGCTTGTGTCCCCGGTTATGGCAAGAACAATATTGTGTAGAATATTCTAACACTTGTTCAAAATGATAGCATTCACTCAAGAACATCTCCCACGTGAGGAATATATTATATTTATCAGAACAGAAATGTTATATGTCCATAGAATATCCATAAATCATAGATCTTTTCTTAGGTCATCAAAACACAGTTCATAATGTAGCACCCCGACAGGTGGGGGTACCTCAGAGACAGGAAGGGCTAGCATTTTCCCAGGGCCAAGTCCATAGATGAAAGGTGGGGGATGGAGAAACCACTTTGTGACGAGTAATAAAATATCTGAAAAGACACACAGACTATTTTCCTAACAGATCAGAATATTCAGCTTCACCTCCCTAGGTTGCAGTCAGGGGGAAAGGGAGAGCTCACAGGGTCCAGCCTGACTATTTATACTCTCCCTCAGCATGCACCAGTGGTAATCAACCTACTGGTTGCCTAGAGCAAATTTTCATAATTCTGTGGCATCTCATAGCATAACCAGCATAATATTAGTCATGGACTTATGGGTTATAGTAAATCATTACCAGGGGCGGACTGACCATTCAAGCACTGCCCGAGGGCCCAGGGTCAGTAGGGGGCTCCATGAGATGCCCCTGGTACATTTCATTGGCTTTTTCATAGGCTTTTTTGGGTGTGGGTGAGGACACGGGGGCCCCATAATCCCCTATTGCCCGGGGGCCCCATAAGTTGTCAGTCCGCCCCTGTACAGTATGTATATAGGAGTTTAAATATGGATAGTTACAGTATGTATATGTTGTTGGTGGACATTCCTTGACAAGTGTTTTATACTTTTGAATTATTTGTACAATATCCTGTAATTAGATGATCATTGTGACTTAAAAGATATAAAAGATAGTGAAGATACATGGGTAATATGTAGAGCCCTGTGTTGGGTACTGTATTTCTTTCCACATTGTATTCCGATTATTCCCAGCCTACTCCTATTATTCTCAACCATCTGGAAGTTTGTAAACTAACTTAATGTGTCACAGAATTCAGGGAAGGAAATGTGTGGGATCTTCACATATTATATTTACACAGAAAGAGTCAAGAATAATAAAAGGTCAGAAAGAAATGAAGTCAGACCTCCTTGCTTTGGTATCAAAACACAAACAGAGGGCACAAAACACTTGTTAATCTTTGGCTCCTTGCTTTGTTGGTTAGCAAATTGCCCCCTTACATAGGTGGGCACCTGGAGACCTGCCCCTTTGTATGAATGGCAGTTGAGAAAAGTACAGCTTACATTGAAGGTTCAATTGGGAAGAATCCATCCCTTAGGGTTAAAGGAAACTTAGGATCTGAGGGTCATGAGGTGAGGCTCTACTGCCGCCATACAGTTGGTTCTGCCAAGTGACATTCGCCCCAGAACTATGAAGGCACCATCAGATGGGAGGTCAACCCACCATTGCTCTAGAAACTTCTGGGGGAACACTGGTTGAGAATGACTGATCTAAGGGTTGGATGCTGGTGAAGCTAGAACTGTGAACATGGCTAGACAGGAGGTCCATCGACTACTGATCAAGAAATGTCTAGAGCAGGGGTCTCCACACTTTCTCTCAAACAAAAGGCCTGTTTACTGTCTTACAGACTTTTTGTACAATATCCAGTAATTGGATCATTGTGACTTGCTATATAAAGATAGTGAAGTTATACGGGTAATATGTAGAGCCCTGTGTCGGGTACTGTATTTCTTTCCATGTTGTATTCCGATTATTCCTAGCCTACTCCTATTATTCTCAACCATCTGGAAGTTTGTAAACTAACTTAATGTGTCACAGAATTCAGGGAAGGAAATGTGTAGGATCTTCACAGTCACTATGCCCTGGCGGTAGCACTGCTGTGTCACACATTTCACAGAGCCCGCCTTCTGAGCTACAGAGGAGCAGAGGGGAGGAGTTTCAGGAGGCGGAGTCAGTATAGGAATCATTGATTGCGGGTAGCAACGTACCACGGTAGTCCTTACAAATGGAGAAACTGCAAAGCATGCTGGGAATTAAGAACGTTGTGGAAAGATGGCCAGCAGACAGGCAGGACAACACGAAAGGAGATTTTCCAAGTAATCTTCAAATTCCAAGTAATTGTCAAATAGAACTATTGTTCGTTTTGGTATTACAATGCTGAGGTTATAAAATGAAAATGTATGTTGTGACCATAGATTTCCTTTAGTCAGTTTTAATAAGTGTGTAAAGATTCATGATTATGGATATTCAATGGACACGTTACATTTCTGCGATGATAAATATTATAATAGATTTCTCACATGGGGGATATTCTGGAGGGAGACCTATAATTTTTGAATAAATATTCTCTCTCTGTACAGACTGAGGATATCGGTTCTGACAGCTGCTGTGAAACGTTTTTATGTCTTTATTATCAGGAGGGGTCCGCATACATTTACAGGGAACTTGGAAATCTATTTTAAAAAGTGGACTAGAATGGCTTTGATCAATTAAAATAATTTTACTAAAAAGTTTACAAGTTTTTAAACTTTGTTTCTAAATATTGTCTGCAATATTAAAATGTGTATTAGACACCAAAAAAAAAAAAAAAAAAAAAACAGAAAAAAAACACACCATAAAGAAAAACACAAAAAAATTAAATTATTAAAAAAAAAAAAAAAAAAAAACACAAACACCACAAAAGAAAAAAAATTATTAAAAAAAAAAAAATTAAACAAAAAGAAAAAACTACAAAAAAAACAAAAAAAAAACACAACCTTACCAATCTTAACCCCTTCTTACTTCTGCTGCCTCCAACTCACTAAAGCATGGACTACACTGTATCTGAGCACCACAAATCAAAAATGCTATTTAATTCATTTTTAATATTCAAAGCAAAACTCCCCCATCCATCCATGTCCCCATGATTTTGCCGAGAAATCACTTTGAAAAACATCCCCCCAGCTTTTCTGGCCATGGCCATCTTGAGTAAGGGCAGATGATTCATGTACAGGGGCGGACTGATAACTCATGGGGCCCCCGGGCAATTGAGGATCATGGGGCCCCTGTGTCCTTGCCCACACTCAAAACACACCCAAAAAAGCCTATAAAAAAGGTACCAGAGGCATTTTATGGGGCCCCCTACTGACCCCGGGCCCTCAGGCAGTGCCGAGTGCTCGAATAGTCAGTCTGCCCCTGTTCATGTAGCATTAACTTCCTGCAATCCATCTGCCCTTAGCTCAGGCATGCATGCAGGAGGGTGTGCTTTGCTGAACCCCCTCTTCCTTCAGGAGACTCCTGGATGTATGGCATTTGCCTAAGCCTGGAAACCAGGAAGTGACTGAAGAAACGTAAAAAAGAAAAAAAAAAATGTAAACAAGCAGATAAGATACTTTCCCATTTACGAATGATATCAGCATAAGGACTAAATACAGTCACTGCTGATCGTGAGAGAGAGGTTCCACATTATGAGATTCTAAATGATGTGAGGCAGAGGTGGGACTATCATGTGTTCTCTGTGATTGGCTATCATAACAGTCACATGATCAGAAACTCCCAGTTAAAACGTCATGGGAAGCTCCCGATGCATATTTGCAGTTACTGCCCTGGAAGCGTGCTCTCGGCACAGTAAACCATTCCCCATGGACACTTGTGGCCACTCCGTATTAAAAGCCCATCTGCATATATGTGTACGTCCAGTGGGAACTGGTTGATATGTGGTGGCTGCAGTCATTTTAATTTTTCAGGCTTTTTTCCCCCCTTCATTTTCTCCTGGTGATCTGCAAGTAACAGAATTTCCTGTTTTGGGGTGACACTATATCACGGTTCTGTATATAAAGGATCAGCAATGTAACCCTTGAACAACACTAGACAACACCCCCCCTCTACTCTTCTCCATAACATTGAGGTGGGTTCTGTAGTCCTAAAACACTTCCTGGCAATACTGAGTGATCACTCTGTAGTGTTATCTCACTGTTCTGCATCAATAGAGGGAGCCATGGTTGTCCCCCAGGCTGCTCTCCTAATTTGGACTTTAAACAGGTCTTGCTCTCCATCTACATGAAATAGGGAGCAGAGAATCTGTAGTTTACAGAAGATGGCTTGGAAGGAAGAAAACGTCTTTTTGATTTGAGTTCCGTATACAGGTAGTTCCCAAGATATAAGAGAAACAGGAAACAAATATGTGAAAAGGTATGGCATGATCCCAAGATATGGCATGATCAACAGGTACTTTCTGTACTTGCTAAAAGAGGTATTGGCTTTAATCAAACAAAAAAAAAAAACCCAGAAAAAAACCAAACCCTCAAGAAACCAAACCCACAACAACAAAAACCCACAAAAAACCAAACCCTCAAGAAACCAAACCAAAAAACAACCAAAACACAAAAAAAAAACTCTCAAAAAAACCAAACCAACAAAAACAACAAAAACAAAACAGACAAAAAACCAAACCCTCAAGAAACCAAACCCACAAAAAACAACCCTCAAGCAAAAAACCCACAAAAAAAAAAAGCAAAACAAAAAAAAAAAAAAAAAAAAAAAAAAGACCCTCAAGAAACCAAACCACACAAAAAAAACAAACCCTCCAGAAATTAAAAAAAAAAAAAAAAAAAAAAAAAAAAAAAAACAAAAAACACACAAAAATCCAAAGCCACAAAAACAAAGCACAAAAATCCAAAGCCACAAGAAACCAAAGCCACAAGAAACCAAAGCCACAAACCCCCCCCCCACTATAAACCCCCCAACAAAACCACAAATGCAGCCACCACAGTACTGATAAGTTGCAATATAATACATTTTTCTACTTTGGTTTATATATCCATTAAAGAAGAACGACAAAGCCTTACTTCCATTTTTACCAATGTGTTCTCTTCTCCAGGGGACAAGGTACACGTAGTATTTTCTCATCTCCCTATGTCTGGTTTAAGGCTAACAAGACAAGCGTCTTTCCTCCCTCCACAGCTGTCCGACAACGCAGCTAGTAAAGAGATGGCTACTTTGACAAAAACGGCCGTTTCTCAGTTTCCAAGCACTTGCCTGCTTGCTGGAATATTTTAGCTGACAGGCCCCCTTTGCCCTAATGGAAGCTCATCTTATTTTAGGCAAGTGCTTGGCAGTGGAGAAAGATGCCATTTGTCGAAGCAGCCATCTCCTTGCTAGCAGTGTTGTCGGAGGCCCATGGAAGAAGAAGGGGTGCAACAACTCACAGCTAGTCCTACACAGCACATCAGAAGATGGGACAAATCTACTACATGTACTTTGTACCCTGGTGAACAGAACACATCAGTAAAAAAAAAATGGAAGTGAGACTTCATTAATATAGGGGGCATCAAGGACACCAATTTTTTACGCATGCTGGCTGGGCATTCTAACATGTAAACTCCTGCTTGCTTGTTGATATTCTATGTACATGGTTTGCTAAAAACATATTTACAAAGAGGAGGGTGCCCCACCTTCTGAGTCATTTTGCGGTGTGTGTATAATCTTGAAGTGCTTGCTCTCACCTTGTGCCAAGCTCAGCGAGTCGCAGTTCTGATTCTCCTGGTTGTTGGAAAGAAACTGATTCCAGAATCCAGATGGCAGGGAGAGCAGAAGAGACATCACCTGGGAAAGGACGGCAATTATTTCCAGACATAACTGCAGCCATAGTAGTGTGGCAGCACCCAAATATTCCCCTTAAGCTTTAACATTAACAGCATCTGTTTGCAAAGCAAGGTCATCAGCTCACTTCCCCCCTCCCTTTTTTCCTGTGGAATATTGTGTTTCAGTCTGTAGCTGGCTCCCTTATTTTCAGCTGAAGATCGTTTATCTAGCAAGACCATATCCTGCACTGCTTAGAAATTATTTTAAATATACAGAAAGTGAAAGAGGAACTATATGCATTGTGACGTAATTGCTGATATGTATAACCTGTAAATGCTTTTCAAGGCACTTAGCTTGCAGACACGAGTCCTTGCTAAGTCAACCAGCGCTGGTAAATAAAAAGTTTGTTTTCCTCAAGTTCATGTACGGAGTTTTACCTGGAATTCCCAAAGTTGCCATTACAGTGGCTCATGAGATATGCCAGCCCTGCTTTCTGCTCTCCCTCCTATTTCAATTATAAAGGCCTGGCTGGTTGAGAATAGACTTTCTGCAGTGTAATGATGGAAGAAACCATGTGATCATTGGCTAGGCTGTAAGGGACATGATTCAGCTCAGTGTAATCTAACCAATAAGAGTGCAAAACAAATGTCTTAGGAGTTCAAACCCCACTTTGTCAGGGCATGAGAAATATGTTGTGATATTGAATGGACTCATCGACGCCCCTGAGCAAGGAATCCTGTAATAGGAGATAAGTCTACCTATATGGCTACGTTACATATTACACATATTGTATATTTAGGGTATAACATGGTGCCAAGTGGACCTTATTTAGTCTTGGTTTTCCAACGTACTCAGCACACACTAATGATGTTGGAGTGGCCTGGAGGGTTTTTAAACCGAGTTCCACCCAAAAGTGGAAGCTCAGCTTATCCGCCTCCTCCCTCCCCCCTTCGCTGTCACATTTGGCACCTTTTGGGGGGGAGGAGTGGATACCTGGTTTTAAAACGGTACCCACTTCCGGCTCAGTTTGCCGAGGCAAAGTGAGTCAGAAGTTCAGCCCCCCCCCCCCTGCAGCCCTCTGGAAAACGTAACAGGCCCCAGAGGACGGAGGCCCATTCACAACAGCACGTTCCAGGCATGCGCAGTAGGAAACCATCTGTGAAGTCACAAGGCTTCACTGCCGGTTTACCTTAGTCAAGATGGTGGCGCCAGCACCAGACAGCCGATTGATTTTTTTCATTGCCGAACCAGGCTGTCTTAACTACCCTCTGCTTGCTGCACACCCAAGACCCTGCTTTATCCCAGCTGCACCTTGTCCCTTGTGTCCACCCCCATAGCCTTCGTTTACCTTCTTCTACCCCTGATGCCAAACCAGTGTGCCAGTTGTAGTGAATTTCTGGGGACCACTAAGGTTTCCAGCCCATCCCATCCCCACCATCAAAAGCTCTAGTGAAGACCAATTGGTACCTGAATGTGTGTCCTTGGAGAGCCTGCACCATCTGCCAAAAGTTATCAAAACAAGAAGTTTCTCTGGCATGATTAATGGTTAGCTTGCAGGTGGATTTTTCAATCTGGGTATGAAGGGGTCCTTATTTTTTTGAGAGCTGGAGAACCCAAGCCATCAGGCACAAGCAAGGACTTTCTTCACTATTTGAAGATTCATATCTAGATACATGTTTCTACCTTCTTGATTTTTAGCTCAGAGCAGCATTTTTCCCACAACAAGCAAATTGCTTTTTTAACTCTAAAATGTTACCTTTAAAAAAAAAAACAAAAAAACAAATCCTAATATGCTTCCTATTTTTTTGTAGGAGGTGTGATTTTTTTTTTTTTTATTTGCGGGTCCACTTTCAGTAAGCTCCTTGATAACTTGTTGGATTTACAAAGACAAAAAGGTATTTGTTTACTACATTTAGGCATAACAATGCAAAAAACAAAAATATAAAAGTCAAATCAAAGGTTTCTTTTCAGGTAAACTTTCCCAAAACTTAAGACATTTGTTGAAAGTAGACTACGGTTTTGTGAACATCCACAAAACCCCATCAGAGTCCATTACCTTGGCCTGTCTTGGGGTATCTTGCATGATCATGAGAGGGCTGGGATCCGGCACAGAGTGTCCAACAATGGTCGGGCCAAGGACTCGAGACAAGTTCATCTTATCCATCTGACACTCTGGGCTGCGCATCACCCTATAGGAAATAGAAGGACTGCTGAGACTGGGGTGAAGTAGAATGGGGGACACTTGTGTCAACTGGTCTGCCCTAATGACTCCACCAGAGTGCTCCTTCCCCTATCCGCCCAGGGGGTGCAGGTGTACTCACTCAGATTCTCTCCTGTAGAGCTTGTGGAATGGCTGCTGCTACCAGGCCTATCAGCTGGGCTGCTCCTTCCTTGCCATACAGGTGGTCCTCTCTCAGAGTCCAGAGAGTCCCGAGTTTTCCTCTTTCTAGCTCCAGGCTTGCAGGCAGGCCACATCCCACTAGGCCTCCTGGCAACCTTCCTCCTTCAGCTTCACATCTTCCTGCCTCACACTCCTCTCCCACACCACTCTCCTGCTACTGAGCAGGCTCCAACACTTTTTAAAGGAGTTTAGCCCTTTGGCAAGCCTCCCGTTGGGGATTGGTTGAGGTCCCTCAAAAGTGAAGCCGACCACTCCTCAGATCCACCCACTGTCTCCAAGGCCCTCCTCCGAAAGCCTCAGAGCAGGGGGAAATTCCAGAGGGGCTGACCTGCAAAGTCTCTCAGTCCTGACCACAATTTGACCCCTCTGGCTATCTCACCTGAGCTGCTAATCAGCTCCTCTCTAGTCATTAGGGTTTAGCTCCCCCTAGCTAAACTAGGAGGGTGCCACACGTGTCTCGCTTTTGAAATATTCCTTTAATTCCTGTTCTAGAGACACAATTGGAAGAAGTGAGAGCGAAGCTCTCAAAACTGAGTGGAAATCTTTCTAAACAGGTGTCATCACTGTATCCTGAGGAATGATAGTTATGGGACCACAAAGCTCTGCTTCCAATAACATGGAATTCTGCTAAAGTGTCAAACAATTATAAACCTATTTAAAAAAAAAAAAAAAAAAAAAGAAGAAGAAGAAGAAGAAGGGGTGTGGCCACACACGTGACGTCATTCCACACATCGAGAGGGAGACTCCAATGGTGCTAGTCTGCTGTGTTACACATGGTTTGTACCCATGTTTCTTGTAAGTGTAGATTTATTATTTTCTTAAACTTGCTGCCTAAATACTACAATATGTTGTAATCCTCTGTATTTTAAGACCCTTTTTGCAGTAAGTTCATTTGGGAAAGGAGTGCAGTTCCATTTCTGGGACCAGAGTTTATGTACCTGCAGAGCAGCAAGGTGTTTTGGGATCTCCATGGAGATCTAATGGTCCAGTAAGGAGCCTATTTATATATACAGTTGCAAGAAAAAGTATGTGAACCCCTTGGGATTACGTGGAGTTTTGCATGAATTGGGCATAAAATGTGCTCTGAACGTCATCTAAGTCACAACAATAGAAGAACACAGTCTGCTGAACATAATACTACACAAACATTAGATGTTGCCATGGTTTAAGTTGCATATAACATGTAAACATTCACAGTGCAGGGAGGAAAAAGTATGTGAGGCCCTAGCTTAATGACTTCTCCCAGAGCTAATTGGAGCCAGGAGTGAGCCAACCTTGACTCCAATCAGTGTGATGATATTGGATGTGTTGCTGACAGCTGTCCTGCCCTTAAAAAACACACACCTGTTTTGGGTTTACTGGTTTCAAGAAGCACTGTCTGATGTGAACCATGCCTCGCAGAAAAGAGCTCTCAGAAGACCTACCATCAAGAATTGTTGATTTGCATGAAGCTGGAAAGGGTTACAAAAGTATCTCCAAAAGCCTTGATGTTCATGTGTCCACGGTAAGACAGACTGTCTACAAATGGAGAAAGTTTAGCACTGTTGCTACTCTCCCTAGGCGTGGTCGTCCTGTAAAAATGACTGCAAGAGCACAGCGCAGAATGCTGCATGAGGTAAAGAAGAATCCCAGAGTGTCAGCTAAAGACCAACAGAAATCTCTGGCACATGCTAACATTTTTGTTGACACATCTACAATAAGGAAAACATTAAACAAGAATGGAGTACATGGGAGGACACCACGGAGGAAGCCATTGCTGTCCAAAAAGAAGATTGCAGCACGTTTGAAGTTTGCAAAAGAGCACCTGGATGTTCCACAGCACTACTGGCAAAATATACTGTGGGCAGATGAAACCAAGATTGAGTTGTTTGGGAAGAACACACAACACTATGTGTGGAGAAAAAAGGCACAGCACACCAACATCAAAACCTCATCCCCACTGTAAAACATGGCGGAGGGAGCATCATGGTTTGGGGCTGCTTTGCTGCCTCAGGGCCTGGACAGATTGTTGTCATTGATGGGAAAATGAATTCCAGAGTTTATCAAGACATTTTGCAGGAAAACGTACGACCATCTGTCCGCCAACTGAAGCTCCGCAGAGGATGGGTGATGCAACAGGACAATGACCCAAAGCATACAAGTAATTCAACAAAACAATGGCTGCAACAGCACAGAATACACCTTCTGGAGTGGCCCAGTCAGAGTCCTGACCTCAACTCGATTGAAATGCTGTGGCGATTCACACCAGACATCCCAAGAATATTGCTACACTGAAACAGTTTTGTGTAGAGGAGTGGTCCAAAATTACTCCAGATCGTTGCGCAGGTCTGATCTACAACTACAGGAAACGTTTGGTTGAGGTTATTGCTGCCAAAGGAGGGTCAACCAGTTACTAAGTCCAAAGGTTCACATACTTTTTCCTCCCTGCACTGTGAATGTTTACATGTTATGTGCAATTAAACCATGGCAACATCTAATGTTTGTGTAGTATTATGTTCAGCAGACTGTGTTCTTCTATTGTTGTGACTTAGATGACGTTCAGAGCACATTTTATGCCCAATTCATGCAAAACTCCACGTAATCCCAAGGGGTTCACATACTTTTTCTTGCAACTGTATATATTTTACTGCTGGTGGGTTTTATTTTATAACCTTGTGGCTGAGACTTTAAATAGGCCTAAGGAATGAGAACTTTTTGTTGAAGGCGGCTGAACGTTGATAAACAAAAATGAAGGTGCAGGAGGAGAAATGAGTAAATCTAATACCTGGTTAGTCTACATGGGGTCAGGGTTACCTGTACAGGTGGAGGATGAGGAAGGCCAAGGTATCTCGGTTGGCTGGAGGTAGATCTTGCACAGCTTGACAGATCTCCGTTTTACTATCATTTTCATTGAGAATATCTAAGTAAAAAAAAAAAAAATTGTTCATAGTTTGTTTTTTTCCTCCAGTGAGATATTGAACACTGAAAACACTTTTGAGGGCAATTTTTGAAAACCAATGTTACACAAATACAAAAGGTGTTACGAAGCTCTACTTTGGCATTTGCCATTATCTCTAAATAATACAAGAGGGAGAGAACTGCTGGCACAATATATTTGAAATACTTACATTGAAGGCTTTCAGAAGGGGCCCAGGATATTAATTACAACACCAACGTCAAAGACAGATAATTTAACCTGCTGGCACAATTCGAAATACTTTCAGAAAAACCACTTCCCTGGCCAACATGAACACCAACAAAGAAAAGAAATGGCATAACACCCAGATGGCTAGCTCCTCAACAAAGTTTGCAAAACCCCTTTTTTTCCCCACCCCTCAAAGAAAAACCCAGTGGTGAAGATGAAACATTGCATCACAGGTCTTTTTTACACCCTAAGATCTAAGGCCAAAAACACGCCACACTCCCGCCCCCCCTCTACAGAATTGATGATGGCACAAACACCCCCATCTGCTCATACAGAGGAAGGCTCAAAAATCACCACCACCCCTAACTAAATATCACTAGATCCTTAACAGATTTTGCAAACCTTTTTGTGAATATACACCCCCCTTTTTGCGCTAGTCAAAGTGAATAATGAATCAGGTGCGCCCCCCCTTCAGGAGCTGGAGAACTACCATCTACTCTGGGCATACCCCCCGTCACCTCAGTTGTTGATGATGGCAACCACTTCATCTGCTCATACATGGTGGCTGGGCTCCCACCCATATTTTTTGCTTCTTACCTACATGATATGCAAACCTTTTTGTTGTGAACAGCGTATTTACAGCACGGAGGTGAAGAATGAAGGGTGGCTCGATCTGTAGCTGATCTCTCAACAAGCCATCTCAGAAAAGGTCATTCAAACATAACCGTATCAGCAATTGTTTGCCCAGCCAAATCTAATCACCCTGTTTTCAGCAGATGGTGGTAGACAACTGTGACTACATATTTTAGAAGTTCACGAGAGAGCAATCATCCAAATTCCCACCCGGGGCCCCAGCTGTGTGGTCCTACAGGATATGTGCACTTTGCTTTAAACCCTAAACCAGTGCTTGTCCTTGCAGCATGGATAAAATACAGATATGGGATAAAATTTATTTTCAAAAGCATTACCTGGTCTGCTGTGAACAGGCAACTAGGTATCACTAGAGCAAGGGTTCTTAACCTGGGGTCCATCGACCCCCAACTTGCCCATGCAAGGGTTTCAGGGGGTCTGTAAGGGTCAGATAAAAGGATAATATTTACATTCACTATACGGCCCTACCCCTTGTCCCAATCAATGGTTCCCCGTTAAAAGGAATTTAAGAAAAAAAAAAAAAAAAAAAAGTACCCTGCCACGGCTTATAGCACCGACTGCTAAGCGGCTCTTGACTTGTTGGTCCAGGTTTACCATTTAAATTTGTATCATTGTTCTCTACACAACCACCTTCTTGTGCCATAGTAGCCGTAGTATTTGATATGAGCAAAATTTGAATTGTTGTTTCATTTGCTCAAGATGATTGTATTTCATTGTTGTAATGAGGGACCATTACCCTTTGCATCAAAAAGGGAGTGAGGTTTTGTTAACCACTTGAAGACCAAGCATTTTATGGCACTTTTTATTTACAAGTTTAAATCTGTATTGTTTGCTAGAAAATTACATATAACCACAAAAATAATATATATACACACACACACACACACACACACACACACACATATACACACATATATATATACACATACACACACACACACACACACATATATAAACACACACACACACACACACATAATATACACACATATACACACACACACATATATACACACACACACACACACACATATATATACAATATATATATATACACACATATATACACATATACACATATATACACATATACACACACACATATACACACATACAACATACACACACATATATAACATACATACATATATATACACACAATACACATAAAATATATATACACACACATATAATACACCATATATATATATACACATATATATACACACACATATATATACACACACATATATATATATATATATACACACATATATACACATATATATATACACACATATATACACAACAAAATATATATACACACACACACACATATACACACACACAACAAACACACAACACAAAATATACACACACACACACACGCCGCTTTAAAAATTTATACAGTTCTAGTGCTAGAATTATTGCTCTAATGTTCACGGCGATACCTCACACATGTGTGCTGCGAACATAGTTTGCGATATGCATTTGTGACTTACATATGCGTTAACTTCGCATGGAGGCATGGGGGTACTTTAAAATTTGTTCTCCCTCTTTATTTTAACACTGTCCCTTTATTACTATTTTTTTTTTATCACATCTCTCCTTTGTTTTTTGAGCTTTTGCTTTTAAAAGTAATGTTTTTTGATTTTTTTGGCTTTAAAAAAAAAAAAAAAAAAAAAAAAAAAAAAATTCACATCCGGCCCGGACTGGATGTGACGTCAGGACGTCACTCCAGTCCTCCAACGCCATAGAGGTGATCAGAGACCATAGAGTCTCTCGTCGCCTCTGGGAGAAGCTGGCTGCAACATTGGATCATTTCTCAAACGCTCCGGTTTTGACGGTAAGGCCGAGAAACACCGGTGAGCGGCTACTGAAAGCGATCCAACGGCTAATCAGCCACTCAGACTGCTTTCATTAGAAAGCCAGTAAGGTGGAAAAAAAAAAAAAAAAAAAAAAAAAAAAAGGGATACCAGGGTTATCGCTGATATCTTCAGCCATAACCCCAGTAAACCACTTGAAAACCGCATTGTTTATATACGTATTGCGGTCTTCAAGTACTTTCAAACTTTGCATATGTCAGTTACAGTGCCTTGAAAACTTATTCATACCCTTCAAAATTTTCCACATTTTGTCATGTTACAACCAAACTCTGAATGTATTTTATTGGGATTTTATGTGATAGACCAACACAAAGTGGCACATAATTGTGAAGTGGATGGAAAATGATAAATGGGTTTCAAAAGGTTTTACAAATAAATATCTGCAAAGTGTTATGTGCATTTGTATTCAGCCCCCTTTACTCTGATACCCCTAACTAAAATCTAGTGGAACCAATTGCCTTCAAAAGTCACCCAATTAGTAAATAGAATTAATTCACAAACTTCCGTATGTATGGAATTTTTTTTTTTTAAATGAACACCTTCTGCTTTGTTTTACTGGGGGATCCATATTGCATAGATTTTTTGTGGGGGCCATATGGTGAAGAAGACTTACCCAATTGAGGACTATACAAGTTAAATTTTTCTCCCTCTATTTGGGTGTTTCGTGTTTTCTGTCATTCAACTAGGCGGTCCCAGTGCTTACCTGCGGTGATTCCCGAGAGGACGTGGAGACCCCTTCCTACTCCTTTAATTTGAAGAGGGGTATTCTAATGTGGTTTTACTCGGTCATACTGCTTTCGACAATTCCTTAGCTTGATTGAGCTAATCGTATTGTATGCAGAGTCACCCCTGAAGGAGGAGCTGTCTCTCCGAAACGCGTCGGGTACCCAATATAGAGTTTTTGCTTATATGACATTGCTGTATATTATTTCTGTAATAATACTGTATGGAATATGGAACATAGGTTTTATATTTTTTAGATATTATGCAATACATTCGAGACGATTTACAATTTTTATGTTTTTCACATTTGCCTAAAAAATCCCATACTTACATACAGGTAGAGGGAGTTTGTAAATTAATTTTGTAACAGGGATGTTGGAAAACCTATAGGAAACCATCCACAATTTTTGTAATTAGTAAATAGAGTCCACCTGTATGTAATTTAATCTCAATATAAATACAGCTGTTCTGTGAAGCCCTTAGGGGTTTGTTAGAAAACATTAGTGAACAAACAGCATCATGAAGGCCAAGGAACACACCAGACAGGTCAGGGATAAAGTTGTAGAGACGTTTAAAGCTGGATTAGAATATAAAAAAAATCCCAAGCTTTGAACATCTCATGGAGCACTGTTCAATCCATCATCTGAAAATGGAAAGCGTAACTGCAAACCAGGGGCGGACTGACAACTCATGGGGCCCCCGGGCAATAGGGGATCATGGGGCCCCTGTGTCCTTGCCCAAACGCAAAAAAGCCTATGAAAAAGGTACCAGGGGCATCTCATGGGGCCCCCTACTGACCCCGGGCTCGGCAGTGCCCGAGTTTCCAAATGGTCAGTCCGCCCCTGCTCCAAACCTACCAAGACATGGCCGTCCACCTAAACTGACAGGCTGGGCAAGGAGAGCATTCATCAGAGAAGCAGCTAAGAGGCCCATGGGAACTCTGGAGGAGCAGCAGAGATCCGCAGCTCAGGTGGGAGAATCTGTCCACAGGATAACTATTAGTCATTCACTCCACAAATCTGGCCTTTATGGAAAAGTAGCAAGAAGAAAGCCATTGTTCAAAGAAAGCCATAAGAAGTTCCGTTTGCAGTTTGTGAGAAGCCATGTGGGGGACACAGCAAACATGTGGAAGAAGGGGCTCTGGTCAGATGAGACCAAAATTTAACTTTTTGGCCTAAAAGCAAAAACGCTATGTGTGGGGAAAAACTAGCAGAGCACATCACCCTGAACATTCATCCCCACAGTGAAACAGAATCATTTGTGGGGATGCATTTTTGCAGCAGGGACAGGGAAGCTGGTCAGAGTTGATGGAAGAATGGATGGAGCCAAATACAGGGCAATCTTAGAAGAAAACCTGTCGAGTCTGCAAAAGACTTGAGACCGGGGCGGAGGTTCACCTTCCAGCTGACAACGTCCCGAAACATCCAACCAGAGCTACAATGGGATGGCTTAGATCAGGGGTGTCCAAACCTTTTTCAAAGAG